GCCGACCCCATGAATGGTTCAGGCACTGACTGCCCTGGAATTGCCAGGTCCCCAAAGCTTAGCTTAGTATTTAACACTGGTATGAGGCCTGCATTCTGCTATAAATTGCAATACATCTTAGTTCTTCGCACAATCCCCCAACCCCTGCCCTTGCATATATAGTGACAGAAAGCAAGTCTCTTTCCTGTGAAGCTAGAATCTTCAGTGGGGTGTGTCACTTTGGGCTGTTGACATAGCCACTATATATACATGTGTAAACACATGTACATACGTACGTGTGTGTATGTATGTATACATCTGAAATATATACATAGAAACATGCATATTTCTTGAGTGGCTACCCTGTATGCTGCAGAGATAACTATGTCAGCCAGGTCAATGTTAGCAATAATAACAAACTCCAAATGAATCGGGGACCAAATTCAGTATAAGTTGATATCTTCATCATGTCAAGTCCAAAAAACACATATCTCTTCCCAGAGTGGCTTTCTTGAGTTGACAATTTAAGAAGCCAAATTGCTTCTACCTGATTGGCTTCATCTTCGACAGGTGGCTTCCAACGTTGCTGTGCTGAGTTGGCTGCATTAAGCCAGTGGAAGGAGAAAGAGCTTGGAAGACTATATGAAGGAGGTATTCCTGGGCCAGGCAAGACAGGGCAGATGTCACTTTTGCTCAGGCTCCATGAGCTAGAACTCACCATGTCATGTGGGCACACCTGACTGTAAAGGCTGGGATATGCAGCCAACCAGCCATGTGCCCAGAAAGAATAGGGCCAAGGTTCCCGAGGTTTCGTGACACCCGGCTAGTCCCTGCCACTGGGACAATGTAGAAATGAAGGGATTGGCCTGCATTTTCATGGAGCTGATCATCCTGTTAGGAAGATAGAAACTACACAGAGAACAGTTCAGTAAGAGTGCACTTTGGATAAAGGAACAAAATGAGAGGCAGTCCAGTCCCTCAAGGCAGGGAATCCACTGTGGGTTAGTGAGGATAAATGACTTTACAGGGAGGGTTTCAGTGTTGTCCTGCATACTGGACAAGATCTAGGAGCAGGAAGAGGAGACTGTGCCATGGAAAATGGACAAAAGATCAACTCAGACGGGAGAGGAGCACATAAGAGAGACAGTGAAGCCGCTCTGACAGGGAGGGTTAGACCATCACCTCATCAAAGGAAGCATTTGAGTAAAAAGACTCTCATTTACTTCTGGTTTGAAAATGTGTGAAATTAGGAGTCTCCATCTCTGAAGCCCAGTTGAATCTCAGTTACTGAGCCAGGGTGACAGATGATACAAAGCCTATTTCAAAACTATGCTGAGTAGTCCTGCTACTTTTGATGTCTAAAACAAGTATGTCTAACTCCAGGATTCATTTGGATTTGCAGGTTAAAGATAAGAAATGTAAAGTATTTCAGATGAGATTTTATTCAGATGAATACTAACAGTAAATATGAACCATAGATGGCTATGTGATGGAGAATCTGCACTCTAAGCTGCGGGGCTCCTCTTAAGAGGCAATGGCCCTCTTACGTCAGTTATACTCTTTTTGACAGTGACTTAATGAATACTTCTCATGTATACATGTATACATTCTACCTGTTTTTCTCATGTATACATTCTACCTGTTTTTCATTTAAGCACAGGTAATAGTATCAGTATAAAAGTGATGCTATACACATATATTTGTATAATATATATGTATATATGGTAAAAATACAAGCCTATCATAAAAATTCTTATCATAAGAAATGTAGTCTCTATGGGGTTGTGTGTTTCATAGTTATTATCTAAGGGAAGTTGTGTGAAGTTGTGTGATGTTTACCTACCATTTCCTTGCCTATAGCTTTAACTCAAAAGTAGATTTTATTATGCTTGAGAATATAGGCAATCCAGTTACCCTAATTTGATCATTATACATTATATACCTGTTTCAAAGCCTCACGTGCACCCCCATAAATATAAACAACTATTATGTACCCTAATTATTTAAAAAATTTTAAATAAAATAAAATTTTAAATTGTTTTTTTAAAATGTAAGCAAATTGTATTTTTTTCTAAATCAATTTTTATTTACCTTATATGTGTGAAAACTGTAACAATGAGTGATTCATTTGTACCTTATTATCTAAGAAATTACCTACCACCAGCTGTCAGGCATAACAATAAACTGACCTGTGTGAATTTCAGCATATGATCCTATTTGTTGACCCTTCTTACTATAACAGGGCCGCTCTCCACTTGTGCTAGTGGATTAAACAGTCGCTTCCCTCTTTCTTTTTTCTGAAAATGTATATTTATTAATGCCTACAACTCTGTCATTGGATGTTGTGACTTTGTTAGGGATTTTATTTAACTTCAACTTTGATTTTAGATTCGGGGGGTACATGTGCAGGTTTGTTACATGGATATATGGCATGATGCTGGGGCTTTGGATACAGGTTCCATCACCCAGGTGGTGAGCATAGGACCCACTAAGTAGTTTTCCAACCCATTCCTCCCTTTCTTTCTCCCCATCTACTAGTCTGCAGCGTCTGCTGTTCCCATGTTTATGTCCATGTGTGCTCAATGTGTAGCTTCCACTTATAAGTGAGAACATGCAGTATTCGGTTTTCTGTTTTTGGATTAATTCACATAGGATTGTGGCTTCCTCTAGCTGCATCTATGTTGCTGCAAAGGACATGATTTCATTATTTTTTATGGCTGTATTCTGTGGTATATATGTACCATATTTCTTTATCCAATCCACTATTTATTGGCACCTAGGCTGACTCCGTGTCTTTGCCACTTTAAATAGCATGGCGATGGAAATGTGTGTCTTTTTGGTAGAATGATTCATTTTCCTTTGGGTACACACTTAGTAATGGACTGATGGGTCAAATGGTAGCTCTGATTTAAGTTTTCCCATCTTTCTTTAGTAGATGAGGGATCTGAGACTAAGACGTTCAGTTACATTCCTGAGATCCTTTAAAACATGTGCCTTCGACAGGACTAGAACTCAGGTTTCCTGGCCCTTGCCCCAGGATGTCTCGGTTCTCCCACAAAGACCTTCACCTTCCCTATTTCAATGGAGGGAAAGGACCCATTTGGATAAAAGCCACTGAAACAGCATTGATGAGGGCAGGTTTTCAGATGCACATATCCATGCAGTAGGCAAAAGGGTGACATCACATATCTGAGAAGCAATAGTGAAGTGCATTTGTGAACTGCATAAGTCAGATAGCTAATCCATTGAGACCTCGTCTCTCAAATCACGTGATATACCACTCAAAATCATTTCTTTTGTTGAATGTCATTTCCCATAACTTCTTGTCCTGTTTGCATATTGATAAATGTATTCTTAGGTCTCACAACATTGTAATTCTTTTGGCAGTCTTTCAATCTTTAAAACTTATATATGGATGGGTAAAATATAAAAACATCTTTTTGTTTATAGACTACAACAAGCATTAATGGGCTACTTACTAACTATGATGTATTTTGTCAGGTCCTGGAGATTACAAGATGAGATAAATTCTATCTTTGCCCCCAGGAAAGTCAGATTCTAGAGGGAACTTAGGATTATAAAAACTGTCCAGAAACAATGTCATGGTTCTGGTTATGTATGGAGGTCTTAGCTCTGCTGCAGAAATTTGGATTTTCAAAGCAACAGGCAACCAGTTTAGAAATTATTTTCTTTCTTGTGAAAGGACTTCCACAGACATACAATTTGAAGGTCCACTGAGAAGGAGAACTGGTCAACCCACAACAGAAAAAAATACCTTTCCCCTTGCAGAAGGCTAGAACACTGCCCTGCCACAGAGCCATCCTTCAGTAGGTGCTGCGTAAATGCTTGTTGAATCATCAACTAACCAAGTACTCAGGGCTCTCACAGAAGTTCAGCCTAAAGAGAGTCAAATGGGGAACAGAGAGAATATGGCTCATTTGAGTGGAGTTTGTAGTCCCTGCTGACTACATGGTAGATATCCTGGGACAGAGTGACCTGTGGGGACAGCCCTGCACTCTGAGATGATTCTAGTATCACTTAGTAGCAAAGAAGCAAAGGCATTTCTTAGATCAGCATCAGTGTGCAGCAGGGTCTCTCCAGGGAGCAAAAGGAGTAGGAAAACTTTTCAGAAGTGAGAGAGGCATGCTTAGCTGCATTATTTACTTACTCAATTAGATTTTTTTTTAGCATCTGAAGCTACAAAAATTGTAACCAAGACAAACCAGGCTATAAGTGCCATTTTCAAAATGTCATCAGCCTAGCAGAAACATTAGGCATAAATCACGAGTTTTATTGTACTTGCAATTAAACAGATCAAATTTAATGTCCACAGAAAAGCCTTGGTAATTAGTATAAAGATTAATATAGTGAAATGTCTCTGGCTTAGCATGCCTCCCAAACAAAACTGAAATAAAGAATTCAGTATATAATTGAATAGCACGTGAATATTAATGTACAAATTCCTCGGAGTCCCCAGATCCCCAATGCAATTATTTTCTATTCACATTAATTGTTCCTAACAGATGACATTAATGACTTTGAGTTAAAATGTGTCCAAGGGAAGATTTCACAAGATCAATGCTGTTTAGAAATAAGGTCACTTTTATAATTATCTGCTCGCATTTTAACCACTGCTCAACATAATAAGGTGAACTTGGCAATTGGTTTCCGTAATGTGAATATCAAATGTTAATTTTCATACTAGCCAATAAATATATCAGGATATTCATAGTTTTTCTACTACTTATTTTAACTACTACTGATATTTTTCTGCTACATATTTTCCAAGGCAGACTGACAGACTGTAAAAGCATGATTATTGTATACAAAATATAATTTGCATATACACATACATATACATGTATGGAACACTGATAAACTAGAATAAACTTTTTAAAATCAGGACATGTATTATTTAATCTGGAAATGTTAACTCTTTTGAGATTTAACTGTCTAAGGCAGGATTTTGAAACAAACAATTAAATTATCCCTATTCCATGTTTCCGCTTGGTTTTACCCAGAAACTTCACTCACGCCTCTTGGATCTTTCATCTGGAGATTTGCTTTCAGAGGTGGAAAGAAGCCGAAGTCTGACACAGTCACGAACTGATGCTGAGCTGCACGTGAGTCTCCCAGTTGCCTTCAGAACACTTGTTTTGATTGTTATTTTCCTTCCATCAAATATGATGTCACAAGCAAACCATAAAGTGCATCCTTGAACCATTGTCAGGCAGATAAAAATACCTCCCTTTCTTGTGTTCTCTGAAATTCAATATCATGTCCCCCAGCTGATATAGTAAGCAGAAAGTGTCATTCTTGGCAAAAATATCATAAATCTTGGCTCTGTCCCCAAGATACTTTTTTGGATATTGATTACATCTCAGAGTCTCTGAGAAATGGTCAAGGAGCTTTTTATTAAAACCCACATCCCATATTATTCATCCTACTTTTATGATATATTATGTATGAATTTTTAAAAATTCATGGGCTCTGCACTTTTTTTCTCTAGCTGGGGTTAGCTTTGTGCTTATTTGACAAAACTTTAACCAGCATAGCTTTTTAACTCTCATTGACACAAAAAGAGTAACTTGAAAAACCACAGATATATAATGAAAAATGTAAGGCTTAAAACAATGACATTAACATTTGTGGATAACTATTTTTTTTATTTTACTGAATAATTCTGTCAGTGTAGATAGACCATTAAATGTAAATATTCTTAAGTATATTTGAATTAAATTTCAGTGGAATGTTGTCACTTTAAATATTCATAAAGACTTAATGGCATCCAATCTATAGTATGGCCTTAAGGTCAAGAGTTTTTTTTAAGTGCAGAGTTTTTATTTAAAAATGAGAAGAATGAAACTCTTGGCTTCATTCTATATCTCAATTTTTTAACTAAAATTGTAGGGTTTTTTAAATTGCATTTTAGGTTTTGGGGTACATGTGAAGAACGTGCAAGATTGTTGCATAGGTACACACGTGGCAGTGTGATTTGCTGCCTTCCTCCCCTTCACCTATATCTGGCACTTCTCCCCATGCTATCTCTCCCCACATCCCCCACCCCCCTGTCCCTCCCCCATTTCCCCCCAACAGACCCCAGTGTGTTATACTGCATTTCTCACAGTAAGAATGTTTCAAGTATATGAACCATTCAGAGTGGTAATCTAAAATAAACAATGAGAAAAATTCACTTTGGGTAGTGCCGAAGACCATATTTTTGCCTATTAAATCAACATAATTAAGATAATGTTGCAATAAAAGCTAATATGCATTTTTGATGAAGAATTTTTAAAATAATCATTATTGCCGGATGCAGTGGCTCATGCCTGTAATCCCAGCACTTTGGGAGGCTGAGGCAGGCAGACCATGAGGTCAGGAGTTTGAGACCAGCCTAACCAACATGGTGAAATCCCATCTCTACTAAAAAAAATACAAAAATTAGCCAGATATGGTGTCATGTGCCTGAAATCCCAGCTACTCAGGAGGCTGAGGCAAGAGAAACGCTTGAACCCAGGAGGGAGAGGTTGCAGTGAGCCAAGATTTTGTCACTGCATTCCAGTGGGCGACAGAGCAAGACTCCATCTCAGAAAAAAAAGTCATTATTACCAATGAGAACTCACTGGGATTCATGGGGTTCTGTGTATCTCTGGGAGCTCTGCTCATTGTCAGGGGCCTGACTTGCCATTATGGCATAATGGTTCCAACTTGGGATGGGCATCAGAATGTTACATTGATGGGGTGACTTTGGGCAAGGTATTAAAACCTCAGTGCCTCAGCCTTCCCATTTAGAAAAAGAGGGTAATGATATTTCTTTTCTATTTTAGAGAGTTGTGTGAGGATTAAATGAGATAACACAGGAAATGTTTGTACACAGTTCCTGCTAACAATATTGGAACACGCATAAGATCTCTGTTCCTTTGGCCCTCTTCTGTTCTCTTAATATGTAGTACTATGCCACACCCACAACAAACCACAGCAAAGGTGGAAATGATCCCTGAGAAAGGGCTCTACTAACATGTCCCCAGAAGTCAGAAGCTCACATCAGTGATCCCTGGTAACAAAGTGCATCCACTTTTGGCTATTGCCTAATGCAGTTACCACTTATGCACAGGTATCAGAGAATGATAGGGCATCAGGAAGTGTAAAACAGGGTCCCACAGGGAGACCATGAACTAACTGATGGTTTAGTTGAAGAGCCAAGACACGTGTGTGTGTGTGTGTGTGTGTGTGTGTGTGTGTGTATTTTTTTTTATTTGAGATGGAGTCTCACTCTGTCACCCAGGCTAGAGTACACTGGCGCAATCTCAGTTCACTACAACCTCCACCTCCCTGGTTCAAGCAATTCCCCTGCCTCAGCCTCTCAAGTAGCTGGGATCACAGGCCCATACCACCATGCCTGGCTAATTTTTTTTGTATTTTTGGTAGAGACGGGGTTTCACTATGTTGGCCAGATTGGTTTCAAACTCCTGACCTCAGGTGATCAGCCCACCTCGGCCTCCCAAAGTTCTGGGATTACAGATGTGGGCCACCATGCCCCGCATATGGATGCATAACATTTTCAGTAATAGCAACAACACCCATCTAAAAGTCCCTAAGCATTAGCATTTGTCAAGGACTGCTCAGTCTTCACAATTATACCACATAGTAGGTGCTTTCATTATCTTCATTTACAAAGAAAGAAACTGAGTCACAGAGGAGTTCAATAATGTTCCCAAGTTCAAAGAGCTAGCAAGTGAAAGCCAGAATTTAAACCTCATAAATGGCCTTGGAGTTCAAGTACTCAATGACAGAACAGTTATTCACTGGCATAGATAATCCTATGTGATAATCACATACTGATGAAGGAAACTGTAGGAAAAAAGAGCTCAGTCTGCAGCCAGGATGTCAGTGATTCAGCATCCCTTACAAGTTCAAACATTGATTTTCCAAGGTGGAGGAAGGTGGGAGTATTTCCCAGTAGAAAAGAGTGGCTGCCTCCTCTTCTTTGCAGGGAATTACTCTGTAACCACCGGTACAGGACCACACTCTCCCTAACTCACGTGCCTGTGGGCAGGCTCAGCCATTCCCTTTGTCCGGCTCAGCACAGCCCATGTCAGACTGCAAGATACCACAGTGTGCTGCTAGGGAACCCACACAAGAGACAGACTGCTTTAATAGCTTCTCCTAGAGGCTTGTTGTGCAAAGCATGGGTCACAGAATAGCAGCATTGAAACACCTGGGAACTTGTTAAAAATACTACATACATCTCAGGTCCTACCTCAGAATTACTGAATCAGAATCTGCATTTTAACAAGATCCCTTGGTGATTCAGTTCACATTAAAGAGTGAAAAGCTGTCTTAGAGGACACCTCTCTGCTTAACCACCCTTGCCCCTGCCTGCTCCCATGTGACAGTGACAGGCCTTCTCTACCTACCTCAAGTATCCGCTATCACATCAGGGCATCTCAAGTTCAGGCCAAGGGAGAAGCAGGAATTCCTTCTCACTGCAGCCCATCTTCTGAGTCCTAGTTTCCTGTCATCTTACCCCAGCATCTATACAGGAGGTATACCTGTGGACGTCAGTGGGCAAGGGTGCTTATTACATTAAAAGAGGCCTGGGAATTTAGTTGTAAATATAGCTATAATTTTAATAGATGTAGTGGGAAGAACAGGCAGGAAGGGCAAAGAGAATCACATGCAAGCCTTCCTGAATACCTTGCGAGAAGGTAGAATGTAAAGTATAACCAAAGCCAGGCAGAGTGCAGAAAGGCCATTGGAGTTTAGATCTGGACAGCCTCATGGGACCACAGACAGTCTCTCTCTCTCTCTCTCTCTCTCTCTCTCTCTCTCTCTCTCTCTCTCTGGAGAGTAGACACGTCTCTCAGAGCAGAGGCAGCTCTAAATAACAACTACCACGCTGCTTACTTAAACAACAAAATGTGAGAGGACAGAATGGAGAAAACAGAAAGCATGCAGTAGAAGTGGAGCCTGCTGAGATATTTCTGAAAGTTTGTTTGGAGCGCATTCCAGGTGCTGACAAGGGCTGAGGCTTAAATGGCAGTCGCTGCTCTGCGACAGACCCATGGGTTTTCAGCATCTGTGAAGATACAAATATGAACTCTCCTTAACTAAGTTACATCCGGCAATAAACGAGGTCATAAATCAATAGATATTGCTGAAAGCCTGATTTTAAGACAAGTTTCTCCTTTCACTGATATTTAGAGTGAAATTTAAGGGGGAAGAAATAGGGTAGTAAAATTTCTTGGCATTTTTAGATCACTTAAAGAGACTGTTATGCAGCAAAAATGAAGTATTGATAGTAAGGCAGATGCCTAATACTGAAAATCTCATGTTATTAAGCACTATAGATATTGATTAGCGAGTAAATTAAACATGCCCTATATACTGATGTAAGGGGTTAATATTTATTACAAGTACTGTAGGATCATCATTACCTTCCTTCCCCAAGCTGGCTTTTAGTCACCGTCACTTGGAATTGCATTTGGAAAACAGTGATAAGTACTCAGGTACTGAAAGGCACCCATAAAGTGTCAATAAATTGTATAAGTAAGAGGCTTTGCCACTCTGCAAGTGACAGAAAGACAGATGGCTTCCCATCAAAGAGTTTCTGAGACAAAGCTTTATATAAATAGGAGACTGGAATTGGACGGTAATAGAGAGATTCTGTTCTCAGTGTTTGGGATGTAAATTAATTTAGCCTGTCCAGTTTGTGGAGCTTCATATGTTACATGAGGGGCCTGTAATGTGGCTGTCAAGATGTGCTGGGATGTTTACAACTTTGTCACCCTTGCCTTATGCAGAAGCAGTGGAATTCTAATAGTCTGAATCTTCAGAACCCAGAGCCAGAACCCAGATCTACTTGATGTGAGGGTTATTACCATGTGGACAGCCAAGTGGTAACAAGGACAGGATATGAAAAGCCCTGTTATATCTATAGCTTAGGCTCATGATACCTGAGTTTGGTGTCATGGCTTTCTGTGAGGTAGTGCAGATAGGCAATGGGCATCTGGTTGTTGACTTAGAATGGTGCCATCAGAGCCGGGAGAAACTGTAGCAGAAATCTCAGAGAGCTGCACCCTCTAAAAAGGGAACATGAAAGTCCATGGAAGTCAGAGTCTTCCTTGCTCAGTGCATGCTTAGTGGCAGTGGGTAGCCCAGGATCCAGACCATTAGACTCACAGCCAGTTTGCATGCTCTTGAACCCTGTAGTCAGATGTGACTCTGTATTTGTCCTTTTGTAGCATTAGAGTCAGGATTTGATACTGATCTGATATTCTCACCAGTATGGCTAGATAAAATAAGACCATCATTGTGGTACTTTTGTCTAATAATGATGGCAGCTTGTAATAATTGAGTACCTACTGTAGACCAGACACTGTGATGTGCTTCACAACTAGATCCTCATTTAGTCCTTGCAATAACCCTATAAGATAAGCAATAGTATCATGATTTTCTTTGAAAATAAAAATGTGGCTGTAGGAGAGTAAATAGTTTCCCCATAGCCATACAGTTAGTAAGAGACAGAGCCAAGATTTGAGCCTATGATTTGTCTGACTCCAAAGTCTGCTTCTAACTATCATGCCATACTACATGGACAATCCCCAGCTGAGGGTGGTTTGACAGGATTTTTCAACTTTATGAGGAAGGCAGAATACACATTCAGTACACACTGTGCTATGAGCACGCATACAACCATTCTGATGTTCACTTTCAGCACAGTATTCAATTAATTACATGACATATTCAACAGTTTATTATAAAATAGGCTTTGTGTTAGAGGATTTTGCCCAAGTGTAGGCTAATGTGAGTGTAGGCTGGGCTGAGCTGTGATGTTCTGTGGAATATGTGTATTGAGTACATTTTCAGCTGACTTTCCAACTACCATGGGTTTATTGAATGTACCCCTGACATAAGGTGAAGAGCATCTGTATTCCCACTTACCTCACATAAGGCTCTGTTGATATTTACTCTCCTCTGACCTGAGCCCTTGCTCAGAGCTGTCCTGCTTTTTCAGGAACACCAACTGAATACAAAATCGGCCTTGAAATGCCCTGGCTTGGGGGCTGTCATCCCTGGTCACCTCTGTCCACGAAACAGCTACAGCAGCAGCAGCGAACTGTCTCTTTCAAGCACCTGCAGCGAGTACTCCAGTGGCTCCTCCTACACGTGGCACGATGGGAAGAACCTCAGGAAAAGGGTGAGGCCTCCTTTCAAGGTACAAGGGCATCAAGCTGAACTAGAAAAGGATCCTCTTCTTATAGGATTTGGTCATGGAGGTGGAGGGCGGTTGGGAAGGTAAGAAGGAAAACAGCAGGGTGCAGTGACTCACGCCTGTAATCCCAGCACTTTGAGAGGCCAAGGTAGGCAGATCACGAGGTCAAGAGATCAAGACCATCCTGGCCAACATGGTGAAACCCCGTCTGTACTGAAAAAACAAAAATTAGCTGGGTGTGGTGGTACGCACCTGTAATCCCAGCTACTAGGGAGGCTGAGGCAAGAGGATCACTTGAATCCGGGAGGCGGAGTGAGCCGAGATTGCACCACTGCAATCCAGCCTGGTGACACAGCGAGACTCCATATCAGAGAAAAAAAAAAAGGAAACCACCATTTGCTGAGTACCTGCTCATATATTACAATGACTTCCTTTCATCCATGCCATAGCCTCATAAAACACTATTTGAATATAAATTGGAGGGCAGTGTGATGAGATGACTAAGACCACAACTTCAGTGTAGGTAGGCATATTTCTACTTATATAAATACCAAGAGTTCCTTTATCAGGATTTTATTTATTTATTTATGAGACAAAGCCTCACACTGTCTCCTGGGCTGGAGTGCAATGGCACGATCTTGGCTCACTACAACCTCTGCCTCCCAGGTTGACATGATTTTCCTGCTTCAGCCTCCTGACTAGCTGGGATTACAGGCCCATACCACGACACCTGGCTAATATTTTGTATTTTTAGTAGAGACAGGGTTTCACTATATTGGCCAGACTGGTCTCAAGCTCCTGACCTCGTGATCCTCCCGCCTCAGCTCCCAAAGTGCTGGGATTACAGGCGTGAGCCACCGCACCCGGCCCACCAGGATTTTTAACAATTACTAGTAGATTGATCCCATCTGCACAGTGGGCTTACACAGCTGGAGATTCCTTCATGCTTTGAGTGGACTTCTCTGTACACTGATGTAAGGGAAATATGTGAAATAGCTGTTTTATCCATTCCCTAATGTTGGAGAAAAGGAAAGAGCACACAAGAATAGAAACCTTAGATCAGAATATTTGGAGGTCATTTTTCTACCATTTGTATAAATTTAGTTCATGGTTTTAGCAGTGTAGAAACCAAGAAAAATCCAGAACTCCCAGGAGATATTGATGAGGGAATAGCTTTGTCGTCCTCTGAACAAGAACTCAGAAGAAGATTTCAAGTTTGCATTTAGGGCTTATTCCCTTGGACTCAGGCTTCCAATGCAAAGTACAGAGCGTGCCGCATTATCAAAATTGCTCCCTCTAAGGAGCTGTTAGGCGCTCTGAATAATGAGCACTCAGGGCCTAGTTCTGAACAGACTGTAAAGATGGTCAGGGATGTTTCCTCGCGTTGTGAATATCACTGGCTCCCAGGGCCCCTCCCTCTGCTGTTTTCACTCTCACACCTCTTTGTCTCTCTCCCTCTCAAAGCCTTTTCACTTTCTTTCATTTTTTGGCTGGAATTCTTCCAATTACACTAGTTTTTAATGTCCTAAGGCAATCTCTCCCCTGAGTGAGCAGAAAGCAGGTTCTTAAGGCGCTTCATGGACACTCAGGTGGCTCTTCTCTGGATCCTTAATAAGAATCTGGCATAGTCATGGAGTACCTATCACATCTCACAGTGAACAGTCTTGTTTCTCAGGGACCTCGCAACCCAGACCCAGATTCATGAAGACATTTGAAATGTGTGTTACTGAAGAAACTCCTGCAGTTCCTTACCTTGTGCTGGTACTCGCATAGTATTAACTTACATAATTAACTTGTAGCATATGAATTTGAATATTAACTCATGTAACAATATGTGATTGATTGCACTTTTTGAGCTCACAAGTATGTTTTTTTAAATACTTGTGTAGAAACAGAAAGGAAGCCTGCATGAAATGCACTAACCTGCCCTACTGAGGAATTCAGCTCTAATTGATGAGAAATTACCATACGCAGCACAGCCTTTTAAAGACTTCAGGAACATTAGATCATGTAATGCTCCCAATCGCCTATTAAACAGGCTCTCCTATTCTCCCCATTTCACAGAAGAGGACACTGAGGTGCTAAGAAGTTAAGTGACTGGCCCAAGATCCCACAGGCAGTACATGGCAGAGCCTGGCAGTAGGTTCCAGAACCCATACTCTTAATTGTTCTGTTATACTGGCCTTGTTGAATCAGCCTCAAACATGGAAAGTTTGCTTTAGTTATTGAGATCAATTTGCTCCCATTAAAACTAAGAATACCCTTTAGAAAAAAGAAATTATAAGACTCTTGTCCAGGTAAGAAATAGGACTATGAGCATTAAACACAGGCCTGCACCTCAGCAGTAGCGTCTTTTAGCCAACCACACTGCTTCCTGAGAGCAACTCTCTTCCACCTTCTGCAGCAAAGGAGAGATCTGCATGTGAGAAATGCCAGCCCTTCCCCACCATCACTCCCACAGGGCCTTCATGCCTCTCCCACCCCCAAGCATCAAGACTGGTCCAGACTTTTCTCCAGTTATTAAATGCTATAACTTCCTATGTAGGACTGAAGGAGAAATGTAACTAATCTCATTGGGCAGAGAGCCTGGGCCCTGGGAGGTTTGCAGCTGCTGACTCTGGGGCAAGTCACAGTGCAGCACAGGACAAGCTCCAGAAAGGCAGAAAGGAGGCTGAGCATGTCTTCTTGAGGGTCAGACAGATCTACCTTTTTCAAGCTCTTGTGGGGAACTTTGGCCTGGCTTCTCTTATTTATTGTCAATATGACTATCAGAATCATGGAAATTCTTAGAAACTCACACTATGGCAGCTGCTTTCTGGTGGACCTGTAATACCCAGATTCATTAATGGGATTTCTTCTGATTTCTAAAGGAGTACAGGGAAGAGCAACTGGGGCAGCATCACCAAACAGCATCTACTGCCAGCAATTTCTGAGAGTGGAGAATTTTCTAAAGAAAATTTATAATTTGATTTAAGAACAAATACATGTGTGCATTGTTGATAACGAGAGTAATTTTCATGAAAATGTCTCCAATGTAAGCAAATGTTTACAGTGTACTAAAAAGCCCAGATTCAAATGGAAGTTTCTGACATTTTTTTTCAACCTCTGCACGTAAGCGTGTGGGGAAAGGAGGAGACTGATGTAGCCAAAACTGGTATAGAGTGCACTTCTGAAACCCAGATCCTTCTCTTGAAGCTCTTTACCATTAATCATATAGCCTTCTTAAGAAGTCACTAGGTCAGCCCCCTATACTCTGTAAGTACCGTTTAAGAAATAGTGTGGGTAACCTGTGATCTCTATTATGACACTGACTAAGGTAGAGGCAAGAAAAGGGGCTGAGCTTGATTTAGTAGTATAGCATCGATTAGGAGTGCAGTCTCCAGAGCAAGACTGCCCAGGCAGTCATGTCCTCTCACAGCCACTTTTGAACTGAGTCGAAATTGACAGTGTTGTAGAAGGAGTCTCAGAAACCAGAGTTCAAACCTTTGCTCCAGCGCTTTCTGTGTGATCTCCAACAGACCCATCAATGAGTCTCTGAAGATGGAGTGCCTGTTATGAAGATGGAATGAAAGCACTCTAAACGGCTGGTATACAACAGGAGCTCAGTAAATGTCAGCACCCTTTTTTTTTTTTTTTGCCATTCCATTTCTTATTAGCAATACTATGAAAAAAATATGAATATGTAGAGCACAGTCTTTTCTCTATGCCATTTCCCATATACTTTTCCAAAGCTGAGGCTGGCATTTGGGAAGGGTGACTGGCAGGAAATTGACCCTTCTAAATTTGGTAGGTGAATAATTATTATAAGATTCTAACAGCAAATGCCCAGCTGCTGTGTGTCTGTGTCTGTGTGTGTGTGTGTCTATGTGTTTGTCTGTGTGTCTGTGTGTGTGTGTGTGTCTGTGTGTATGTGTCTGTGTGTGTGTGTCTGTGTGTGTGTGTCTGTGTGTGTGTGTCTGTGTGTGTGTGTCTGTGTGTGTGTCTGTGTGTGTGTCTCTGTGTGTATCTGTGTGTCTGTGTGTGTGTGTGTGTCTGTCTGTGTGTCTGTGTGTCTGTGTGCCTATGTGTGTGTCTGTGTGTGTGTGTGTGTGTGTGTGTGGTAACTTAAAATTTTCATAGATATCCATTGCCTACCAATAAAGTCATGAAGTCACAGAACTATCAAATGTGAGTATGAAGATATGGACTAATTTACCTTTCCAGCTTTACCCTCTGTACCTCTTGTAGACACTCGACAATAAGGCCATATCATCTTTTAGTCATTACTTCAATGTACCTTGAATGTCCCTTCTGACTTAGGTCTTTGTCCATCCCATTTCTCCCACCTGGAAATCATTTCCCCCACTTTAACCTAAGGCAAACCTGTCTGTCTTTCAAGAGCCAGGTAAGTTTAAAAGAAAATATATATATACCTTTCCTATATGAATCCTCCAAATGGACCTGTCTGTGGCCTCCCTCCTCTGAATCTCCAGAGTAACTACAACATTTGCACTTCTTGTTTTCTCCCTCGACATACAGTTAGTTATGGCCAGTTTTCTCTCCCCTGCTGGGATCTCTGCTCCATGAAGACAGGGTCTTTACCTTCTATTTCTTTAGATCAGTCTGCTGCTTAGCACAGGACCTGGCAAAATCAATGTTTGCTGCACAGTTTGTGAATAAATTAATTAGCTAATTAATGTAGGCATTTATATGTGAATACTTATCAACCACTAGTACAAATTAAGTCCCATGATGGACTTTTCCTTTTATATATTTGTGATCTACGTGGTTCAATCATTTCTGATGTCTACTTTTCTTTCCTAGCAATCATCACAAAACTGGGATAAAAGGCTAAGTATTGATTCTTCGCTCCCAAGTGGCTTTGCTAGTCCTACAAATGAACTACCTCCAACTCGTATCAAGGAAAGCCACATTTTGGAAGGGCTAAGAAAGCTACAGAAGCGAAAAGTGTTACTTGAACCCCCATCATTGATAACCAAATGGGGTTATAAAGACTGCATGAACTCGAATGAAGGAATATATTCTCCAGGAATTAAAAGTAGCAGCCTCAAGGGGTATCCCCCCTGCAAAGCAGCTGACCCGGGGAGCCCCTGCAAGGAGCCCCACAAGACATTTGTTTATGATCTAGATTCCCACGATGATGCAGACGATGACTCCTCCACCTTAGCGTTGCTCCAAGCGGTTCCAAACCAGAGCTACAGGCCACATGGCAGTAAATTAACCCACAGTGTTTCTGATAGTCTGTTTGGCTGGGAGATGAATAGAAAACACTTTCTGGAAGGCACACCCTCAGTTTATCCCAGGGAAAGGCCTGAAAAGCTGACAAGTTGTGCCAGCAGCTGTCCTTCGGAGAGGAAGCTGTGCCCAAGTGTGCAGGTGCCTCAGGTACAGAGGGAACCACAAGGCCAAGGCCACGGCCGCCTGGCTCTCCACATCCAGCTTTCAGACACTGAAGATAATGAAATGCTCGATGAGCTGCACATAGAGAGCAGCGATGAGAAAAGTCCTTCAGATGTGTCATTGGCTGCTGACACCGATAAGTCCATGGAGAACCTGGATGTCCTTGTGGGGTTTGGAAAATCTCTATTTGAGTCTCCTGATGAGGAGGAAAAACAAGTGCCCATCCCTTCAGAGACTAGGCCAAAGACGTTTAGTTTCATTAAGCAGCAAAGAGTTGTAAAAAGGACTTCCTCAGAAGAATGTATTACTGTGATATTTGATGCGGAAGATGGTGAGCCCATTGAATTTAGCTCTCACCAGACTGGAGTTGTCACTGTTACCAGAAAGGAAATTTCCATCAATTCAGCTCCTACTGGACCCAAGGCAGAACATACTGAACTTTTACCTCAGGGAATTGCTTGTTTACAGCCAGGAGCTGCTGCAAGAGACTATACTTTCTTAAAAAGGTCTGAAGAAGACACTGAGAAAAACATTCCAAAAGATCATGTAGACAATGTTTCCAGGGTGTCCACTGAATCTTTCAGCTCCAGGACAGTGACACAAAGTTCTCAGCAGCAAAAGCTGGTCAAACCAACACACACTGTATCATGCCAGAGTCACTCCAGGTCTTCGGCCCCCGTGGGCATCTATCAAAAGCAAAATCTGACAAAAATACCTGCCAGGGGCAAGTCTTCACTTCAGAAATCAAAATTAATGGAGCCCGAGGCCACCGCACTACTCCCCTCATCTGGCCTGGTGACTCTTGAAAAACCACCAGCCTTAGCACCTGGGAAGCTCACACGGTTCATGAAGACTGAGACCCCAGGGCCCCTCTTTGAATTACGACCAGATCCACACATTCCAAAACATCCCACCCAACTTCCGCACAGCTCCAGAATGCCCAGCAGGAGGGACTGGGTCCAGTGCCCCAAGAGTCAGACTCCAGGGTCACGGTCAAGGCCTGACATTGAGTCTAATGACAGTGGAGAGCCCCCGACGAGGGACGAGCACTGTGGCTCTGGGCTCAAGGCAGGGGCGAAATCCCCTTCTCCTCCGCCCCCTCCAGGCAGGTCCGTCTCCCTGCTGGCCAGACCCAGCTATGACTATTCACCAGCACCTTCATCCACAAAGTCTGAAACCAAGCTCCCCAGTGAAATAGCAAGGACCCCATTCAAATCCCCTCTGCTGAAAGGAACCTCTGCTCCAGTTATTTCGTCTAATCAGGCCACAACAGAAGTGCAGAGGAAGAAACCTTCTGTGGCTTTCAAAAAGCCTGTCTTCACTCACCCTATGCCCTCCCCAGAAGCCGTAATTCAAACCAGATGCCCTGCTCATGCCCCCTCCAGCTCCTTCACCGTAATGGCCCTGGGGCCTCCAAAAGTCTCTCCAAAGAGAGGTGTCCCCAAAACCTCTCCTCGTCAAACACTTGGGACCCCACAGATGGATGCAGGATTACAGACTCCCAGGAATTCTCCTTCAACCCATGAGCCACTGGAAATAACATCCTCCAAAAGTATATCTCCAGTGAGAAAAGGACAGTTGAATGATAGAGCCTCTACATCCCCCAAGCCTTCCTTCTTAGGGGTAAATGAGTCACCATCATCTCAGGTCAGCAGTCCCTCATCGTCATCATCACCCTCCAAAAGCCATAACAGCTCTCATGGTTGTCAAAGTACTCATGAGAAAGGACTGAAAACTCGCCTTCCAGTGGGTCTCAAAGTTCTCATCAAGTCTCCCCAGCTGCTCAGGAAAAGTTCCACCGTGCCAGGGAAACACGAAAAGGACAGTTTAAATGAGGCCTCCAAAAGTTCTGTGGCTGTGAACAAGTCTAAGCCAGGGAACTCCAAGAATCCAGCAAGCGTGGAGACCACAGCAGGCGAAAGAAATGTGACCATGCCGGACTCACAGGCACAGGACAGTTTAGCTGAGGGGCTTCCCCTGGAAACAGCACTACAAGAGTCATTGGAAAGTAGCATCCCTGGGAGTGATGGAAGGGACGGGGTAGATAATAGATCCATGAAAAGATCCCTTTCCTCTAGCAAACCACACCTAAAACCAGCTCTAGGCATGAATGGTGCCAAGGCCCGTAGCCAGAGCTTCAGCACACACTCAGGAGACAAGCCTTCCACGCCCCCCATGGAAGGGTCAGGCAAAGTCCGAACTCAGATCATTACCAATACTGCTGAGAGAGGCAATTCTCTTACCCGGCAAAACTCTTCCACAGAAAGCTCTCCCAACAAGGTCCCTTCTGCTCCCATGTCGGAGAGCCTCCCCAGTGCTGGGAGGCCCTTGGGGCACCCCTCCTCCAGGCAGGGTTCCTTGGGGAGCTCCGGCAGCTCTACCAGTCAGCATGGGAGCCCAAGTAAGTTGCCTTTGAGGGTCCTTCCAAAGGCCGAAGGACTCCTCACCCCACTTGGAAAGGAAGATCAGCAGGCCTACGCCCAAGGAGAGTGCCCCAGTGTGGCTGTACTTGGGAAACCAGACGGTGATTGCCACAGATGCCCACCCACCCCAGCAGGCTTCCCTGAAGCCCTGCAGAGCCCAGGGAGGACTCAGCATCCAAGTACTTTTGAAACAAGCAGTATATCCAAGCTAGAAACTTCTGGAAGGCATCCAGATGCCTCTGCAACCGTGACTGATGCTGTGAATTCAGAAGCCCCCCTCTCACCCACAATCGAAGAAAAGGTCATGTTGTGCATTCAGGAAAATGTGGAAAAGGGCCAAGTACAAATAAAGCCCACCTTTGTGGAAGCGAAGCAGAAGCCTGGGCCTTCTTTTGCCAGCTGGTTTGGTTTTCGGAAGAGTAGACTTCCAGCTCTCAGTAGCAGGAAAATGGATGTCTCCAAAACCAAAGTGGAAAAGAAAGATGCAAAAGTCTTGGGGTTTGGAAACAAGCAACTAAAATCAGAAAGAAAAAAAGAGAAAAAGAAGCCTGAACTACAGTGTGAGATAGAAAATGAGCTTATCAAGGACTCCAAGTCAGCAGATAATCCAGTCAGCGGTTTACAAAGCAAAAGTAATCGGAAAACACCACAAGACATTTACAGCCAACTGGAGTTTGAACCAAGGAAGAGACACAGCCCTGTTACATGTTCAACAAAAGACACCTTCATGACGGAACTCTTGAACAGGTAACTAACTGGAAAAGCAGGTAGCAATGTAGAGGGGTCCCTCCACCACCTTAAAGGGAGTGTTTGCTTCCTGTGCATTAAATGCCAGTCGAGCGTGTTTTTCATACAAGCAGAAATGAATAGTAGCAGTCTTTTATACATTAGCCAGAATTTAAACAATGAAATAAAAGTTAGCAATAAAATGATAATTTAGTCCATGTTACTTTGTTAACCAAACCAATGGTCTTTGAAATTAAAGAATGGTAAGTTTTATTAGGGTTGATAGGAATTCAGCCTACACTAGGAACTGTGAATGTACCCAGATGGCATGAAATGGAAGAAAATTACACATACGTTTTAAAGCATGTGGTTTTCATTGATTATACCTAGCAAACATATACTTGAAAACATTCCAGAAATAATTATACTTCTTACCCTCTTAAGCTAAAAATGTATTTAGTAATCACTCTTCAGTGGTTTTTATTTTGCCCCTCTCCACAAGTAATTATAAAAATAAAAAATACATTATTATATTGTCAAATCTAAATTGACACACTACTAGAATATTTGAAGATTTGATTAAGGCCCGTGAGAAACACTTATCCTTCAAAGGTTTGAAGACAAAGAGCTACAAGGAGGTTACTTTAAATATTAAAAGATTGGGAAAAGGAGAGTGATTGAAGAAGAACAAGGTAACTTATCAGAGGAATCACTTTCTACCTGCAGAGTTGATAAGAAAGCAGCTCCACAGACAGAAAGTGGATCAAGTAATGCTTCCTGCAGGAATGTGTTAAAGGGCAGTTCTCAGGGTTCCTGTCTCACCGGCAGCTCTATCAACACTCAAGGAAATCACAAGAAAAACATGAAAATCAAAGCCGATATGGAAGTATCAGAAGATTCCCTGGTAAGTGCTCTACCATCCTGGTATCAAGTGCTGCAATCTGAGATGTTCTGGCTGAGCTCTTTCTACCGTTTGCTAATGAAAATGTGTGGGTAAGAGATTGCAGTGGGGGGAAAGAAAAGGTCAGTGAAAAAGGTTTTCTAAAAAGAGAGAGAAATCCTGGTGACAACTGCAGCAGAGAGCTAGCAGCTGGACCTTGAGTGGGCCTGGCTCTCAGGAAATGCCACTTTTCCCAGCTGTTTTCAGGACGATGAGGATAATCGCAATGAGTCCAGACAAATGATGCTACCAGCATCATCTTCAAATTATACCATTGGGCTGGAAGTTTGTTTTGATGATTATTTCTAATATCACTGGCAACCAAAAAGGAATGAATGTGATTTTAAAAATAAAAGTGCTAGACAATTTAAGAGAGTATTGCCTGTTTTGATGATTTGATTTAAGCATTGTTCGTGTTTTATGGAAGTTGTATGTACCAATTCATGCAACTTAGACAGAGGCTGTTAAGGCTAAGAAATCTTTTTTGGAACTTGGCTTCCTATCATTTAGCCTATTGTGAGGTTCAGAACTCAGGGAATAGACTTCTTTTTAAAAATTAAAAAATAAATGAAGGAGTATTTTTATATTTTCCTGGGGTGTACTAGTTTCAGTTAATATTTTTGTTTTAAAATTACCTTAAATTACACTTATTCTCCTTACATTCTTTACGTACTTGTATAAATGATTTGATAGTATTCATTGTTCCTTTTGGTAAACATTGTTCCTTTTCAGAGCAGCTAAACACACAAAAAAATCTCTTTATGGAATTACTATATCCATATCTTTTTGTACTCTCATAAAGAGATTATAAAAATATAGTACATGCTACCATTTTCTGAGGGAAAACTTTAAATATGAGGTAATGATGCATTATTTTCTGGAGTCATTCGAGAGAAGAGATTTTAAAGTGACCACAGTTGACATTATTAGTTATTAATTATTAGCTATAATTGCTTATTGAGGTTTAGAGTTCCTTCAAGTTTTCTATGCTTTAATTTGAGAGAAATAGATGATTAATTTTTTTTATTCAAATAGCTCTTGACTTTACAGAGCCGTAAGGTCTTTTTTTAATAAACTCTCCAAAATTATATGCAGATTATGTTCAGTGCAAACTTTCTTTTTGTCTTTCCCCCACACCATTTCTTCTCTTGGCTTCCATGATATCATCCCTACTTTGAAAACATAGATGTCTCCTGCATTATAAAACCACAAATTATAAGTGTATCTAAGGCTGCCCTTGTAGTGTCACTGAAAGGAAGAGGAGAGAATGAATGTGTGAAAATGTGCAATATGCTGGAAATTCAATCCAGCTGATGGAAAACTTTGATAGCCTGGCAGAGCCCCTTATCAGAGGCACTCAATTTAACTATGCCCCATTTAATATGGTCCTGACAGCTTAGGGTATATCTTCACTGCACAGAAGTACTAAAAAAACAAAAAGACTCTGCATTTGGCTTCCACAATTTCATTTTTATTTTCTTATTACTTCCTAATGCTAAAGTTATTTGCCATGCTTTTCCTCTCTCATCTGCAGTCTTTCACAGGGTCCTTTGGTCTTTCCAGAATATCTGTAAGAAACACTCTTATTATTTTCTGTGAAGTACAAAAATTCCCTAACGACCCCACATATACATAATCAATAGAGTTATGGTAATTTTTCTAGTTAGCTCCAAGACAAATTAGTCATGCTGAGAAGCTTTTCCATGCAGAGAAATGTTATTAACCTGGATAGTTGACCAACTAGTCATTTTTTAAAATCTAAAATGCAATGCTTTTTGTTTCATCTCTATAATCATCAGCATGGATTGGGCTAAAATTACTAATTTCAGAAAGGACATTGCTATAGACTCCTTTGGGACTAGTACAAAAATAGGAGTGAAAACTCTATTATATGTTACTGGCCTATGTAGGAAGGAGATTAAATGCAAAACGAAATGTATTGTAACACCACAGCACGTCGATGTGAATACCCATGAACCTTTTAAAATTCAGAGTTGAAGGGAATTTCCCCCTACTAGGGCTCAAGGTAAATTTGCTGTCTGCTTATTTTAAAGTGTGTTGCAAAGAATTTTTTTCATAGTAGTTTTTTTTTGTGTGAATATAATGTCTATATGCAATGCATTACGTTACGCTTTTATCTGAATAAAACCACTGTTGAAAAACCTGATGACATGCTATACCACCATCTCTTGTTCTTTGCAAACTAAGATGATATATAGTTATGAGAGTCCTAAGGCATTTGTAGTATTCAAATATATAGTGATAGTAGAAAGATTATTTTCATACATATAACAAATCCACATGTGTAGCGAGCCTCCACTTAGCTCACTAGTAACTGCGTATTCATTTTTCGTATTGCTAGAAACATTCTAAAATATGTTTAAAAGTCCCATTAATGTTTTGCTGAATTTCTCATTTCAGAGTCTTAGAGGCTTATATCCCCATTTCTGCCATCATTTATAGGCCACTGAGCTCTAATTTTGTGTAATTTAGACAAGGGCCATGTTACTTGGTACTTTTATTTAAATTATATAAAATCATTATAAAATAGGGAACAGGTATCTCAGAAAGATTGCTTGGTATTAAGTGAATAAGTCAGAAAGAGGTACACTATGCTTACTCCATGTTGTAAGTTCTTCCTTCCTGTGAATTTAGATAATTTTCTGAAATGAAAGATTTCAAAGAAAGACATCTCTAGGCTCCTATTTAACTATTACTGGACAAAAATAAAAATCGTTAACAAAATTAATGATATCATATACCTTCATCATGAACCATTTTAATATGACCATTTTAGAATGGGTATTTTAATTTAAATTATGGGTATTCTCCTCACCCAGTGTCACATAGTCTAAAAAAAAGATCATGTCTGCTAATAAAAAAGCATCAAATACTATCCCATTAGAATGGTACTGTGGTGATAAAACGGCAAAAAATAGTACAATAATTACACAAATTGTTATCATCTTATTAAGTTCCACGAAATGTTATAATTTTAACATCCTTAATTGAACAGCTCTGTTCTAAATGGTATTTTGATGCTAATAAGAAGCATGCATATTTTGCCCTCCGCCTGCAAAGTTTCTAAATGACTAATTTTTCCAAAGGTTATGCCTTCCAGGAGTTTTCTCTCCCAGGATTATTTCCTGTCTCACTTAGATTCACTATGTTCTTTTCCTGTTCGAATGAGCTTTGACATCAAAATGTTGGTTTCCTGGGAAGCCGTTAATGTTAGGATGATTCAGAGAAGGAATATGTATGGAACTCCAAATGAAGGATGTTCTAAAAATTGGGCTTAATGATGAAAGTATATCAATGGTGAATTATTTTCTCCCCTTTTCCTCCTGTATCTCTTGTAAGCACATTTGTTCCTGGCCTTCCAGGAAGAGGGGTTAATAAAATAGGGGTGCAGTGATATTTAATTGTTGCCTGTTATAGACTGGAGTTGGAGTAGTTCCCGACTAGAACTGCAGAGCCCCACAAGATGAACAAGAGTTAGGGATGAATCATTAGAAGACAACCAAAGCACTGGCAACTAACTTAAACCAAAAACAGCCCGTAGTTGCTACTTGTGAGTAAGCTTCTACTTTTTATCAAATGGGACGTAACTGACATGAACTTGTTTCTGTTCCTCGGGCAGCAGAAATTACTGAGACATTTCTAAATTTCTAACCATTAGTCTTTTCTGAGCCAAATGCTTGCCAGACTTCTTGTTTTTTTGTCCACCCCCATTCTTTGCAGTGCTTTCCCACATGGAGGCTTTCCCACTTGTGCTTATTTTTGGCAAATACTTGACCTGGCAAATTCCTCCCCTTACTCCCAGGAAAGCTCCCACAACTTTCCACCAACATCCAGCTCCTATGGGATCAAGAATGAAAATTAATTTAAATTTTATCCTATGAAAAATATAATTAGCAAGGGGAATCTGCTGCCAAAATAAATTATGTCCTTCATTTGCATAGGCAAATAGATTTTTTAAAATTACTCACCACTTTGCATTGAAATCTATTTGTACAGATAATTAGAACTGACACATATGTCACTCTAAAGCACTCCCCCACTTTCCGTTTTTTTGCTGCTTCTTCATCCATCCCCTTCAAGTTCACAATTGCCCCCTCATGAGTCATCTGTCTCTCATGGGTCATCCAGCCCAGGAGAGCTGAAAGAGCCAGGGGCCTTGTTCATCATCCCAGTTCCTCTTATAAGTCCCAAGAGACCATGTTTAGCATTTGCTGTTAAGCACATAAAGCCCTGGAAAGGTTCTAGCAAGGAGCTGACAGGTAGAAATGGGCAGTAGCTTTTGTTTGCTTTCTTAAATACAATAATTAGAGGAAGGAGGTGGAGAAGGGCCACAGAAGGGGTAGGGAACAGAATGGAAGGAGAGCAGAAAATTACACACACACACACACAGAGAAAATGTTTACTACTCTTAAAATATAGTTTGTGGATGCTTGGAACATTGCCTTCAAATCTAACTGGTAGACACTAAGAAAGTCAGGCTAGTTTTTTTGAAGGTCCGGAAAGGAGAGCTATAACAGGACAAGACACTCTGAAAAATTGAATTATGGCAACGGATAGGAATCAGGAGTGCCTATTCGACAACGGAAATTCTGTGTGACTTTGAATAGATTATTAACCCTCTCTGGAGCCTCTTTTCCTTTATCTGTAAATAAAAACTTTGTTCTAATTATTTGATTCTTTTGTTTAGAATTTCATAGGCTGACAGAAATGATGATTTATTCGCAGTCCAACAGGTTTCAAGGGCACCCCTGCAAGTTTAAAATGTGTAAATTTAGAAAAACCCAAAGGAAATACAATTTTGCATTAACACATGGGGGAAATATGGAACATACTGTCATAAGAGGTGATATGAAACTGAAAATATGATTTCCTTGTTGTTTCTATAAAGAAGGAGAAAAGGCTCCCAATGGATTATTAATGTAAACTAAGGTGTTTGGGGGCTTTTGGGTCACCTTGTCACAAACAGATCCCTGAGCAAAGAGAACCTTGGAAGGCAAATAAGCAGTACTTTGGTCTTTTTCATACTCAGAGTGAGAGTGAGGTTCCTCTCTGCCATCTGTAAATATATACTGCTAGGAACACAGTCAGTTAATGAAGCCCTTTTTTCCTGCCTTCTTTCATTCTCTGACTTTCTTCCTGTGGAGTTTCTAAACAACAGGGAAATGCCCACAGATTAGACAGCTGAAGGGGAAAGAAAGTGATGAAGCACGGCCTCTTGATACTGAACCCATAACGATCTCTCCTTGACAGGGTTGCGTTAGCCGTCTCCATACTGGCTTGAGTTTGCCATCTCTGGCTATCAGCATGGTACAGATTAAGCACCAATTACATTCTAATATTGAAACTGCAGTCATAAAATGTAAATAATTGGTCTTATTCCATTAAGTATGAAAAATAGGAGGCAAAAGCAGAAAGTTAAATCCAGCTCAAGGTCAGTATGCAGCCATACAACTTTCACATTGTGAGTATAAAATAATAATTTATTGGCATTCAACTAAGCCCTGCCGCAAATCCACTGGCAATCTCTAATGTACGTGCCTAACGAGGGCACCCATTGCATTGCACATTATTATCATTGGCTGCTTGGTGACTGGCTGGAATGTATTTTAAAAGAGCTACATAGGGTCATTCCCCCAAGTTGTCTTGATATTCAGGCCAAGTCTACACAGGCATATTCAAGTGGAAATTTGAGAATAACAAAGGTCCCCGCAGTAAACACAAATCTGGAGTCAGGTTGCTGTGTTTAAATCTCAGTGCCACCACTTCGACAATTACCTTCTCTGTTGCCCTGGGATAGGTCCCTATCTCTAAAATAAAGCTAACCATAGTACACGTCTCATAGCACTGTTGTAAGGATTTTAAGATCTTACTTGCGAACAGCACTTGCCACACAGTATGTAGGTGTTCACTGTTTTTATTGTGGTTGGTATGGCTGATGATGCTCCTACTTCTCTTGCTACTGGATTGGAAAGTAGGGGACCTGGGCTTTCATACCAGTGTTGCCACTTACTACATTCGTGCCAACTTTAAGGAAACTTTCTGGACATCAGGATTCTCATCTGTAAAATACTGAGACTTCATTAAATTCTGTATCGGTTCCGTTTGATGCTGCCCAATCAAGCGTCTGGGCCTTCCAACCGAAATATAAGAAGGAATGTTTTTGGCTTGAAAAAAATCTAGATAAATGACTCACTGCTCTAGTTCACTGATCATACATACATCATTGTCATCTCCTTTCATTATGGGAAGAATTTTTAAAAATCATCTTTTTAGTTACATTCCTGGAAAAAGCCAGGAGATCCAAGTATATTTAAAGTATATATTTTTATTCTTATTAAAATCACTTGTAGTGGAAGTCACTGACTCTGGAGGAATTATACCTCCTTAGACTTTAATTTTTCCTAACTGCCCTGTGTTACTGATTTTATCAAGTATTAAAAAGCAAAGCTGTTATCTCTAAAATTTTGTGTAGAATTAGATACCCTGTAAATTCTCTCCTTCAGAGATTAGGTTATATGTCTGAAAATATGCTCTTATTAATTAAAACTTGTAACAAAGCCAAATGATGGAGTGGAGAAAAGTGGAATGAAAAATATATATGTATATGTATGTGCACGTACACATGTATATACATGCAAACACACACATATGCCCACATATTTGTTATAGAATGTATCATTACTCTGTGGATTGCAAAAATATCTATTTAATAAAACGAATAAGAACTTGCAGCATTTTATTCTTCCTGCAGATAAAAGAGGGAAATGAAAACTTACAAGAGGATGAAGAAGATGCAGTTGCAGAGTCTGTATTTCAGAGTCACATCATAGGTAAAAATTCACATCTTCATACATCTTTTACTGAGACTTTTTCTACATGTATCCTTCTTTCAGATATGGTACATTCCTAGAGACCATGTCTCATGCCTTGCTCTTTCAAGACTGAGTCTTAAATATTCATACATGGTTGCCATTATCTCCTTAGAAATTGGACACTACCATAAAATCAGTGGGTCAAAACAGCACCGATGAGGAAAACATAGGTATTTGCAAAGGAATGCAAAGCAAACTGATGAGAAGTGAGTACTTGTCAATATGAAATGAAAGTGATACTGAGTAATCCAGTTTCTATAATTGTCTCAAGAACACCTAGTGCAAACAAATGTCTATTGTTTAGAGGTGTGGGTGGTGGCTTTCTAAAATAAAATATTTTATAAATTGAATGTTTTACACATAGTACCAAATATAGAATAAAAAAATATGGCTTGCCAAAACTCTCAACTCACTTTTTAAATCATTTCTGTTAAAACTCAGAATATAGATAGTCCTGTCTCTGAAATAAGTTCAGCTTGTCAGCATGTCTTAAAATTGTGCCCAGCACTGAAGGAACTCAAGTTCCCAGCACACAGGAACTTTGCTGACCTCTTTTCAGCAGCTGGGAGGTAACCAGTGATGGAGGAGTTGCCTTAGATTACCATCCTCCTCAAGAGGTAGAAGAAGTGACACCTTTAACTGCTCCAGGCCACCTTGGACACTTGAAGAATTGGTTGTCCCTCAGCCACTAAATATAGCCATGAATGTGAGCATGCTGATTATTTAGCTTTACACATGGCAGTGAGGCATCATGGAATCATTTCTGCAAGTCACATTTGGGTGTAGGAGATAGTACTGAATACTGTGTTCCAGGACATAATGGCCCCACGGATCGCCAGTGTCTGGTAGAATCAGCATCCATTGCTCCCCTCCTTTCATTTGGAGCACCTTTAGCTGCCCACTCTCAGGATTCCACCACTTGGCACCACGATGGCACACTTTGTGGCTGATTTTCTAGGATATTCAGAGGTCTTGTGCCAACTATAAGTTATAGTTTGCCTGAGAGGGTTGTTGTACCCCCATGGCTTAATGAGACTGGCACGCCATTATTATTCTTTTCATTTGTAATTGGGAACACAAAAGTCTTAAATAGCTGAAAGAGTATAGTCTGAATAAGATTATTATTCCAAAAAGACATCCTTTATTATAGTTGTCAATGTAAAATGCTTAAATTGGTATCAGTTCTGCATAGTTAGCTAATATTTGAGTTATATATTGTTTAACAGCCTTCAAACATGACGTTGTGCAAAGCCTGCTGAGTCATCATTTTTCCATAATGAGGTGTTCTTGGGCCTGTAAAATAATAAATATAAAGTCACAAGCTGAATTTTTTTCTAAGAGAACTACAGGAATCCCTTAAAGCATTTTTTCATAAGTACCAATTCTTTATATCTGTGGTATTTGATGTGATAGCCACTGGCCACATGTGGCTGTTTCAATTTAAATTAATGAAACAAGATACAATTAAAAATTTACTCCCTCAATAACACTAGCCGCATTTTGCATGTTCAGTGCTCCTGTATTCTGTACAGTCACAGGCCACTTGATGACAGAAATACGTTCTGAGAAATGTCGTTCAGCAATTTCAACATTGCGGGAATATCATGGAGTGTACTTACACAAACCTAGGAATGGCCTACTACACAGTTATTTTATATTGTATAGCTGTTGGTCCTAGACTGCAACCCTGTACAGCATGTTACTGTACTGAATATTGCAGGCAATTAAAACATAATAGTAAGTATTTGTATATCTACCCATAGCTAAGCATAGAAAAGATAAGGTTAAAATAATACTAGTATGAAAGATAAAAGGAAATATACCTGCATAGGGCACTTAAGGAACTGGAGGTTGTTCTGGGAGGGTCAGTTAGTGAGTGGTGAGTGAATGTGAAGGCCCAGGACATCACCATATACTACTGTAGACTTCATAAACACTGTACACTTAGGCCACACTAAATTTATTGAAAAAAAATTTTTCAAAATTAATTAACTTTGCCTTACTGTCATTTTTTTACTTTATAAACTTTTAAATTATTTTTTAACATTTTGACTCTGTGATCATACTTAGCTTAAAACAAACACATTGTACAGCTGTACAAAAATAAAGCCTCTCTTTATATCCTTACTCTTAAGTTTTTTTCTATTAAATTTTATTTTTTTACATTTTAATTTTTTTCTTAAAAACTAAGACACAAACACACATATTAGCTAGGCCTCCACAGGGTCAGAATCATCAATATCCCTGTCTTTCACCTCCACATCTTCTCCCACTGGAAGATCTTCAGAAGCAATAACACACATAGGACTGTCATATCCTGTGATAACAATGTCTTCTGTTTACCTCCTGAAGAATTTGCCTGGGGCTGTTTTACAGTTAACTCTTTTTTTTTTTTTTTAATAAATGGAAGGGTACAGTGTAAACAGCAAAAAGTATAGTATAGTATAGTAGTAAGTATGTAAACCAGTAATAGTTGCTTATTATCATTATCAAATATTCTATACTCTACATCATTGTATGTGCTAGATTTTTATAAGACTGTCAGCATATAGGTTTTTATACACCAGCATCACCACAAACATGTGAGTAATGGGTTACACTATGACTACATAAAATGCTTAAATTGTTTAACTACAATGTCACTAGGGAATAGGAATTTTTCAGCTTCATTATAATCTTAAGGAACCATCATCGTGTATGCAGTTCATCGCTGACCAAAACATCATTTTGTGGTACATGAATGTATGTTCTATATCGTAAATAGATCACATATATTCCTTCATCACACAGACATGTGTTCTATGTGAATATGTTCTTCATCAGTGTTCTGTTGGATACTGCTGCGTCAGATTACTCTAATGGAAGTACATTGAACCATGCAGATAGCAGGAACCATGTTTATGATAGATAATTGACTTGGTATTCAGATCATTGCAGATGTATCTCTTCAAAGTGGTAGAGAACTATATGAATATGCTACTACTGGCCAAAAATAAATGACAGTGAAATAGCCTGACAATGCATTACATAAATAATAAAGTCAGTCATTTTACAGAATTAAAGGACTGGAGGAAGGCAAACATGAAAGAGGTGTGTAGCAGCTCAACAATGTTTTCAAAAGCCCTGGCTCATTGTATCTATTTACTTGGCCATGATTACCACGCTAGCTTTTTGTCCTCATGCTTGTAGACTTTGGTTGCAAATTGACTCCCACCACTCTAGTCATTTATATTTAAGACAAAAGTATAAGGAAGGGTAAAAACTTCGCTAAAGTTCCCCCATAGACTCCATCTCAGGGATCATTAGTGAGAAACGGATCATACAGCCAATTCTAGCTGCAAAGGATGCTGGGAAAGTTAACATGTTGTTTTCCAGCCTTTGTTGCATGAAGTAGCAGGGAGAAGAGGGTTGAGCCTGTCTCCCAGGCTAACCAGTCAATAGGTTCCCCACAGATCTAAAAAGTCCCTCCATGGTTTTTTTTTTTTTTTTTTTTTGGGAGAGGGGGGACAGAGTCTCTTGTTGCCTAGGCTGAAGTGCAGAGAAGCAACCTCGACTCACTGCAACATCCACCTCCTAGGCTCAAGCTTCTCCTACTTCAGGCTCCTGAGTTGCTGGGACTACAGGCGCCCACCACCATGCCCAGCTAATTTTTGTGCTTTTTTAGTAGAGACAGGGTTTTGCCACATTAGTCAGGCTAGTCTCGAGCTCCTGACCTCAGGTAATCTGCCCACCTCGGCCTCCCAAAGTGCTGGGATTACAGGCATGAGCCACCACACCTGGCCAAAGTCCCTCCGTTTTAAGACTGTATGAGTCTCAACAAAGTCAAATGGCTGTTTTTCTTAATTCCTTAAGAATGGCTGAGAATATATATTTTTTACACCCTGATAATACTATTGTTCTTCATGTTGTCTAACCTAAGTATTGTCATATATTCTTGGAATATTTTATAACCATATTATGTTTCTAATAACAGCAACTGTGCAAATCTAAATGTGTTGTTCTTCTAACCCATATTAACTAACGTCTTTGACAAAGAACAATCAAGAAAATTGTGAATCTGAATGTTTCCATTTCTGTGATTAAGGGTAATCACGTTAGTTTAACCAAAATGTTATGAGTTGATTACAAGATAAGACATTGTTAACTTGGCCAGGCACAGTGACTGATCTCTGTAATCCCAGCATTTTGGGATGCCAAGGCAGCAGAACTGCTTGAGCTCAGGAGTTGAAGACCAGCCTGAGTAACAGAGTGAGATCCCATCTCTACAAAAACTTTTTAAAAAGTTAGGTATGGTGGCAAGCGCCTGTAGTCTCAGCTGCTAGGGAGACTGAGGTAGGAGAACTGCTTGAGGCTGGGAGTCCAAGGGTGCAGTGAGTTATGATCATGCCACTGCACTCCAGCCCAGGTGACAGAGCAAGACTGATCCTTTAAAAAAGAAAAAAAAAGATATTGTTAACTAAACCTGCTCTATATTGAAATTCAAGATTCATGCTTAAGTAAAATAAAACAACTACATTTTTTTTAAATTGCCCTCATAAATGTTAGACTAAACAAAGCAAATGGGTAGCCTAGCCTAATAGAAGTATTAACACCAATGATCACAACTACTGTATTTCTAATTATTCTTTCCTGCTATCTAACTTTTACCTGCTATCATACATTTACCCTATGTATTACACTAATTGTCTATCAGAGTTAACAATTAGTAGGAATTCAAATATTGTTCATTGTCTTATGTTGAAAACATCAGCCAGTGATAATTTAAAATAATTCCCTAAAAGGAAACAGGGGATTTGGAAAATCTTACAAAGAGGGGAAAATGTCCTTTGAGGAAATTGGGGAAGAATATTATTGAAGCAAAAACCCAATAGGAGTCACAAAAAAATTGAATCCTATTGGGATGTATGGTAGGTGTTCATGAAGTGAAAGACACATGGATTTTCCCCAAACTTAAAAGA